CTTCTTCTTCTTCTTCTTCTTCTTCTTCTTCTTCTTCTTCTTCTTCTTCTTCTCCTCCTTTCTCTAAGTAGCTTGAAGTGGTGGTGGCAGTAGTGGTGGTGCTGCTGCTGCTCTAAAACAACAAACACACTACATGATATACCGTCGCTTTTAAGGACAAGTGGGTAACCCAGATTTCGGGGGTTTCCAGAAATCTTGACCTACTCCAAAAGTGGTCACTGCCGCACCTATAGGAGAAGTTTGGTTTCATGGGTGTGTATATTTGTTAAGTTATAGAGAAAACTCTCCTTGCTTTTCAATGAAACTGAACAAGGGGTAAAAACTTTACCTTCGATTTTCTCAAAACGGCATTTTTCGGGATAGCCCACTTGTACTTAAAAGCGACCATATACCTCCCTCTCTTCCCCTCCCACAGCACGAGCAGACAAACGGGGTCAACCTGCTCAGCCGGACCTCCCTCCTGCCCGCCAAACCTCTGAGGGTGAGCAGGAAGCAGAACGGTGTCAAGTACTACAGACCCAACAGAATGCACCAGTACCTGTCTGCCACAGAGCTCAAAGACAGCTCCCGGGAACAGGTGAACATCGCCTACGGCAGGCCTACTAGGACCACGTGAGTCGTGTTTTTTGTTTTGTTTTGTTGTTGTAGTACTTACTTTTTACTTTTACTTTTTCATCCTCTGTTGCCGTTAAGCGTCAAGGGGAGATCCAGTTCTCTATGGTAGGCCAGCTCGCAGCTCTTTCAGTTGTGATGTTAAGTTTTCTTAGGTTTTCCTTGACACCCTCGATCCACTTTTTGTGTGGCCTTCCTCTTCCTTTATAGCCTGAGTGCTTGGTGTTGTAGTAGTGCTGATCATTATTGTGATAGTTTTTAGTTTTGGTAAGAGTTTTACGGCACTTGCAACACAATTAGGTCATATAAGTGCCAAATGTGATAGTTTAATATAATCGCCGTTGTTGTTGTTGTTGTTGTTGTTGTTGTTGTTGTTGTTGTTGTTGTTGTTGTTGTTGTTGTTGTTATTGTTGTTGTTGTTGTTATTTTTTGTTTTAGTAGTAATAGTAGTGCTGATAATTGTGATAGTTTAATATCATCGCCGTTGTTGTTGTTGTTGTTGTTG